TTTGTTGGGTGCACTTCTACTGCTCATAAAGCTATAGTTGGATGTATAGCTTTGGAGCCAGTATGCTAAACCTTGGAAAGATCAGTGCGGCATTGGTGACGTAAAAGAAAGCAAAGAATAAGGAAAATAGTGGTTAAAGACAAGAGTTAATTATCACAATGCTAAGTGGTATAGACTCAGTTTTATGTGAGTGTAGTTAAACTATAACAAGGATGTTTCATTCTCAGTATTGTGTGGATAGTTGTCAGAGGGGAACTTGGAAAAATTCATACGTTGATTGAATAAAAACCTAGAAAGGTGGAACCCCACCATGGACTGCTCTCCCTGCTGCCCTCTGGGAGGAGGCTTTGCAGGATCCTCTGCACGTACAGCAGATTTTGCAACAGCTTTTTCCCCACTGCCATCTGACTGCTGAACTGTTGGGGGAAAAAAAAAAACAATCAGGTCACAGATTCTGTATCACACCAAACCAAAAAGAACTCAAAATAAAATTAAAAAAATGTTTTCCTACTGCATATTTGCAACATATAAACTCTTAAAACTTTAAATCAAGACTCTGCATAACAAACCAAAATAATGCATATTTTCATCATATATATTTATATTTGCAATGCTCTGAACTTCCATATCAGTGCATTTTGCAGCATCTCCCACATTGTTCACGTTTGATCCCTGCTGCACTTTATGAAATGATCAATTCACTGCCTAGCTGCTGCTCATTAACTGTCTGAAGGCTGTACAAAGCTAAATTTCGTTTTGTACACACTCTGTGTATATAAAATGATAATAAATATAGTCTAAGTCTTTGTCCGTGAGTCTCTTACCGTCGCATATCAGTTTGGTCTGAAAGGGATATGAAGAGTCTTCACCTCCGGAAATGCCATTAATTTAGATTTAACTCAGATTAGTGATTGCCACCTAACCTGACCCTAAACTTTTCTGTTAACAAAGCAGTTTGAGAGCCTTTATAGCATTGAATATTGTAGGTGGGTTTACAATTAAAACAGCATTTTCCATAAAATCATGAGCTGGGCTTAAGGTTCTTTTAATTGTCCTGCATATGAAACAAAAATTGCTTTGTTAGAGTTATTAGCACCAGACCAAGCATGTTCCTGTTTAACAGAGCTGTGTGGAGCCAGTGTCAGCCACACCTTGATAAAGAGCCGCCATCTGATAGACACAGCGTGCAAAGTGCTGCGTAGGAGGACAAAGAGAACAGGCTTGTTTTACAGCCCCGTCGACCTCGTGCTTTAGCATATGCCAACAGTCTGTGTGTGTCTGTCTGGATTAGGAAAATGTAATAAAATAAACACACACATCTGTATTTATGGTAGGTATTTTTCTACCAGGTTAGATTTTATTTTATCTACTGGAAAACAAGTAAAACATGAATTTTTTGTTTACGGTTTTTATTTAGAATAATTGTTTTAAACACTTATTTCTGACTCAAACTTATCTATGTAATATTTACTGTTGTAGTTCTATCATTCAGTGTGAACCACATCAGCACCAACCAAACATTTGAAGAGGACAAAAAAGGAGGTTTAGGGTGACACACGTAACTTTATCATTATATGAAAACTAGGTAAGCCTGAGTGTTTGAGCCTGTCTGTCTCGGGGTGGTTTCGCTATACGTTCTCTGTGTGTATCTTTGGGGACTCGCCCATTCCCATGTCATTTCAACTGCCTCTGACTGGGGAAGTGCTCAGCAATTACAGGGATGCAGCCCGCAGCAATGGTGTCTCTACACAGCCTATTATTTGGAGGGATCTCTCTGTCAAGGTGTTATATTGGAAGAAATGGAATTGAGTTACGCTGTAAAGAAAAGCCTGTCTCAGTAGAGCCTTGCTCTCTCTTCCCATTCAGGATTTCCTTACAGAATTACACTCAGTAGAGTATGTGAGGCCTGTTCTACCGGGTCTGTGTATTGGTGGTGTTTCCCAGGGTTTCATTCACTTATTTCATCTTGTGGTAAACTGGAGATGAAAACTGAGGTTAATAATCCTGGACATTAATCTGCATTGTCTATGTATTTTTAATAAATAAGTTAATTATTTACATCAATATTATATTTTGTGAGTAATA